TGACATACTCTAAGGTTAAAAATGACACAATCGGATACGGACGTTTACTCTGTTACATCGACGAAGCTTCCATGCGGTTATTTCTTTTTGCACTCCCTATATTCTGCACTGTCGTTGTTAACTGTTTTGTTTATCTCTATATTATTATCACAATAAAATCAACAACCAATATGGCCGGAAGGAAATCACGTGATGTTACATACGCCACTGTATATTTTAGGCTACTTTTGCTGACGGGGATAACATGGATGTTTGGACTCCTTAATGAATATTTTGAATCTGATGTTCTTGATTATTGTTTCATTGTACTAATAGGGGGACAAGGAATTTTCCTATTTGCTGCATTTCATGCTGCACGACTTACTTCTAAATTAAAAAGAATATGCTTAAATAAGCAAGGTACCGATGAAAATCTGGAGAATCAGAACGACAAAAATCAAACCAAAAATAAAATAACAAAAACTCAAAATCAAACTGTAGATACAAACTTGAATGCTTCAGATTAAGGCAAATATTCAAAAACGGTAAACCTTAGCACTTTTAAGTGCTGAAAATTGAGTACTGCTAAAGCCAGTGCTAGGGGTGTGAGGGGTGTTGCACTTTTTCAATATCCCTCATGTACAGACTGAATAAAAACGACCCTGTAGTTTTCATGTAAGTTTGCTTTTATTGATGTTTCTGAGGGATAACTTTTTCCAGATATTTATGATGGATCTTCTGTTCTTACCCTGACATGATTTCATTAATTTCTTGGTCCTGTAAATATTTTGTACTCTTCTCTGAATAATGTTACGTTTTCAAGCTTTATTAAATAGCATATATTTTTCAGCATTCAAATAACTCACTTTTTCGTAATTTAAACTGTACATGTACTCGTTTATCGTATATGTCTTCGCAATCAATTGATTTGTGTAATCTGAATTATTTCATCAAAAGTTTTCAAAGCAATCTGTATTTAATTATGAACATTTTGTTACATCTTATTATTTTAACACATATTTTAAGTACACTTATTGCAACTGGCTTAGAATTGTTCATCTGGACCAGTTCACCAAATGCTTAAGATGCAGTAGTAGACTATGATGTGAAACGGTTTTGTGTACTCTGTAAGTTTTTTTTGTAAGAGCTCTTGGACGTCGGTGGATATATAAAGTAACGGTATAAAGATTTTCATGTAATTTTGTTGTGATTTTGTTGTGATTAATGCTTTCGAGGGATCACACTTGATCCAGATTTTAATATTGTAATATCGTTACTGTAAATGTAAGTGGACTTATGAAGTGAAGTAAACACACACACACACGCACGCACGCACGCACGCGCGCGCGCACGCACGCACAAAATATCTGAATGTTACTACTGTTTTCCATAACAACTATATCAGGCAGACTATAGTCTATTGTGCTGAATGATATTTTTTCAATTAATTTTTAAAAAGTTAGGATATGTGCTTTCTCTGGTGGTTGAATCTCCTAATTTTACTATTCAGCTAGTTGTTGTAATGCTTGAAATAATGTACGGAGGGGTATGTGAGATCTTCCTCCACCATTAAAGCAGGAGAGTCACCAAATTATCTTTAAAAAGTACCAATATGACATAAAAGTAAAACCAAACCAACAAAAGAAAAAGATAAATATGTGTGGTATTTTTTATGTTATTTTAACTGTTAGAAGTAGAGGAATACCGTACACTTAGGTTGTCATGCCACACCATACGTATTGTTATAGCATTCCTATGATATGTTTCTTTTTTTATATCAGACTTAGTACTACCGGTATCTGTTTTATCTGTTTTGTAAAAATATGTTTTTATTGTTTTTATATATTGTCAGTTGTCAATCAGATTGTAGTTGTCAAATAAATACGTAAAATTGCACTAAGCATACAGGTGTTTCTTGTTTTCCTTGTTTCATATATTGGCATTAACTTGATTAAGTTACTGTCCTTTATTGAAAATTTTGATGAAATACTAGAGAAAAAATGATAGTTCATTTGTATGGTACCCGAAGGGTGAGCATATAGTCGCCGCTTTGTCGCCGCTTTGTCTGTCCGTCTGTCTGCCCGCTCTCACGGGACAGTAATACTATGCCTAGAAGGACAATAGGTAACTTTTCTTTTTCTTTGATGTAATTCTTTCCGTAATGCTTTTATGTGGCTATATTTTTGTGTGGCTAAAAAGAACAATAGAGTAGCCACATTGTTTTTTTTTCTGTCCCGTTAGAACTCCGTTCGTCCGCTTTTTTTTGTCCGGGACATAACTCTAAAACAACAAGAGGTATCAACATGAAACTTTGTAGATAGATAGATCTCATTGGGTAGATGTACAATGCATAAAAACGTAACTCTGCCCTGCCTTATTTTGGAGTTATTGTTCTTTGTTCATTTTACACTTTGAAATTCGTAAGGGACATAACACTAAAACTATAAGAGATATCAACATGAAATTTTATAGGTAGATAGATATCATTGAGTAGAAATAGAGTGCCAAAGAACCATAACTCTGCCCTGCCTAATTTTTAAGTAATTGCCCTTTGTTTAATTTGAACATTGTCCTGGACATAACTCTGAAACAACAAGAGGTATCAACATGGAACTTTGTAGGAAGATAGATCTCATTAGGTAAAAATAGAGGCAAAACCCCCCGCCGTCACTCTGCCTTGCCAATTTTGGATTAAAGCCCTTTGATTTTCATACTTTGAACTTTGTCCGCGACATTACTCTGAAACTATTACATATATCAACATGAAACTTTGTAGGTAGATAGATCTCATTAGGAAAAAATGCTGTGCAAAACAACAACGACAAAAAAAAACAAACAATAACTCTGCCTTGCCTAATTTTGAAGCTATCGCCCTTTGTTCATATGTTCACCGGGACATACCTCTGAAACCATAAAAGGTATCAATAAGAAACTTTGAAAGTAGTTAGATCTCATAAAATAGAATTGCAGTGCAAAAGAACCGTAACTCTTCTTTGCTAAATTTTGGAGTTATTGCCCTTTGTTTATTTTTACACTAACATTAACTAGGAAAAAACTATGAAAGTATAAGAGTTATGAACAAGAAACATTGTAGGAAGATATATTTCATTGGGTAGATGTGCAGTGCACAAGAACAATAACTCTGCCTTGCCTAGTTTTGGAGTTATTTCCCTTTGTTTATTTTTACACTTTGAACTTTGTCCGGGACATAATGCTCATACTATAGGAGAGATAACAACAAGAAACTTTGTAAACTTTGCCCGGGACATTAATGTGAAATTTCAAGAGGTATCAACAAGAAACTTAGTCGGCAGATAGATCTCAATGGGTAGAAGTGCGGTGCAAAAGAAACGTTACTCTGCTTTGCCTAGTTTTAGAATTATTGCACTTTGAACTTTGTCCGGGACATAATGTGAAAATACAAGAGGTATACTTTTCTCAGTCCAAAACCTATTCGGGGAACATTAGCAGGTTCAATCGGCTCTTGTTCCATATGAATTTATTGTTTCATACTAAGGGGATAAATGTCAGGCACATGATTTTCAATTTGTTGGTTATGGAGTACAATGAATTGTTTTGTTTTTGTGGAGATGGAATTGTGTGGACGGAGGAGAGGGGATAGGGGTCAGAAAGGACATTTTTTGAGTCTTTTGAATTCAATCATGGATTGTCTGCTTTTGTGAAAAAATGCAGAAATTATCTTTAAGCAGTCAGAATAAGATTTTCCGTTTTTATCTGAAATATATAGATTGACCTATTTACGAAAATCATGAAAATAAGATAATTATTTTGCAGTTACCACACCTGTATTGCAGGGTTACCTTGGCGTTAAAATATTAAAGGGAAGTGACTTCTTCTTTCTAGAAAAAATAATGAGAAGAAGAAGTGTTGCTAGCGGGCTACAACATACATATAGATATTTTTGCATGTAAATAATATATATACACGACATTAAAAATAACATTGTATTATACAAATATTTAGCATACGTTAGAATAAATAACATATGACATGCACACGAACACCAAGGATAGCACAAAAAGACTCTAATTTCCATTCTGGTCCCCATATCAGTGATAGGGGTTTTAAGTTTCATTACAAGAAATTGTGATACGAACATTTGTCAAATTTTCATGAATAACACCATTTGGCATGTAATATGGCACAAATAAATGTAAACTGATTTGGTTTTAAACTGGAGATTTAACAATGTATGAGTCTATTTTAACTTTCTTTTAACACTATTATATCACTTTGTTCTATCAACTGATATAATAACTCAACAAAATGTGGTTTTAGCTATAGAGATAATCAAAATACACTCACTTTTACCAGATTTTATTGATCAATTATATATTCAGCTTTAGAAGGGTTATCCTACTCACCCGGGCGCCGTGGTAGACATAGTACTTTGCTTAAAGATTTGCATTATTAATCACCAAAGATAATTGAGCCGCGTCACGACAAAACCAACATAGTGCGTTTGCGACCAGCATGGATCCAGACCAGCCTGCGCATGGACACCTTCTGATCAGGATCCATGCTGTTCGCTTACAAACCCTATTGCAAGTAGAGAAACTTATAGGGAACAGCGTGGATTCTGATCATACTGCGCGGATGCGCAGGCTGGTCTGGATCCATGCTGGTCGCAAACCCATTATGTTGGTTTGGTCATGACGCGGCTCATATCATATTAATCATTGTAATTTCACACATTAATTTATAATAGGAGGTCGCTGTCTAAGGTCCATAATTCTATCATTGATTTTGAAATTTCTTGGTTAAAGTTTTGCATGCAATTTGAATCTTCAGGAACGTTTGTGAGACTAGAACATAAATGACAGGATACAGAAAATTTGTATGATAAACTCTGGACAGCTGAGGTCTTTCTCCACCAGTAAAGCTGGAAAGTCGCCATTGTACTGACCGTGTGACGAAAAACCCATCAAATAAGAGAGAGACCTGGTGAAAAACATTTCAAAGCATGGCCAATACATTGGTCGAACAAACAGAAAAAAACATTCATGATAAAATAAAGACAATTTATTAAAACATGTAAATAAATACCGTGGAATTAACCTGTAGATATTAAAAATATAAAATATTAGATACTTGATACATTGTAAAACTAACAAAAACAATAGCGGTACATATGTTTACATAGACATGATTTTATCGGGCTTTAATCTGTGAAACTATAAAAATGTGTGTATTTAAAATGTTGTAAAGCACGTGCATTTAGTCACCGGTAAAGCAATATTCACTACTTTCCTTTCGTCACTTTGGTTTAAAAATCCTTTGCTCTAGTATAAACATTGTTATATGTGGTTTATTTATAGTCATACAATAATGTATTGTATGATAACTTGAAAGGTATTAATTAATTAGCATTTAGCATTTAACTAGACCATTTCATTCACTTTGAAACTTTGTATAAATTATCCATTACATAAACTTCACATAAATTAATTAGTGATATGGTAAATTGATATGAATATAATCATGATTATGATCTGTGCGCGAAATTGAGTTCATGTATATAATATTTAAACAAGAGTGACAATTTGTCACAAAATATGCCCGTCACAAATGACGTATTTCTTATTAATGAATATTTACATTGAAATCCAAACATTCATGGGACTTGATAACATCCTATATGACCTTGACCTGAAGTATGCCAATGTTTAAAATTTGTGCATCTTAATATAAGACTTTCTCTATGTTTTTAGAAGTTTTGCCGTGGACAAACATTTTCTTCTAAACTCTAGGTGTAACATTGACCTTGGACTCTAGGTGTAACATTGACCTTGGACTTTAGGTGTAACATTGACCTTGGATCTAGAGACACAACTTCTTATTGTGAGGAAAACCTGTTCAGTGAATAATTATGCGCCCTGTATTTCACATATTATCACTTAATTCAAGACTATTAAATTTTCAGACATTGGCCTCTAAGTGTAACCTTGATCTTGGCCGCAGGGACCTGAATTTTGGTTGCAACACACTGGCTTACAATGCTAAAAATTAGTGCCATGTTTTTTTTTATTAAAATCTCTCAATTCATGCGGAATTTGTTTCAGACATGCGATTTCCTTTAAAAGTGATCCCTATTTTATGTGCGCAACATAATGCCTCATAGTGGTGAACATTTGTGTCAAATAAAGTTGAAATAAATCCATGCATGTAGAACAAAGATGAAAGTTCCCTGGACGCCGCCCCCGACCAGGGATCACCCCAATTTACAACCCTTTATTTTAGGAAACGATTATAATTAAGTGCATTAGCATTAAAGAGAATTGTTTGTTTCAGTTTTAAAAAGAACTAAAAATTTTAAATAGTCTGTTTGGTACTTTAACGTCTTTTCCCTTGTTATTTATCATATAAGCTGACGAAGCTTATTAAAGCGAAGCATGTTTGGAATAACTGTATTGTTTTTTCCCCTCTATTCACCCTCATTAGTCTTTATATAAGAGAATAATGGTATCAGACTTGATTCCCCATGAAATGTAAGTTCGCAAATATTTTCATCACACATGAAGACTTAATATTACAAATGAGCCGCGTCATGACAAAACCAACATAATGGGTTTGAGACCAGCATGGATCCAGACCAGCCTGCGCATCCGCGCAGTCTGATCAGAATCCACGCTGTTCGCTATCAGTTTCTCTACTTGTTATAGGGTTTGTAAGCGAACAGCATGGGTCCTGATCGCGCAGGCTGGTCTGGATCCATGCTGGTCGCAAATCCATTATGTTTGCTTTGTCGTGGCACGGCTCAAATCATCATAATTACACACATATTATCCTATCTATATGTAGTGTAGATATTTTACCATCACTTAATCAACACTAACCAATATTAAATCACTGCCACTGATGCGCATACGTCATAACACAAACTTTTGTAAGGGTTGTCATGGTAAGACGTTGTTCTTTTACACAGGTTCAATTCTCCTAAAAGACCCGTAGACTCCATCTACTCGAGATTTTAATGTAGTGTCTGGCTTTTTGGAAAGGTCAGCATAATAATTTCCACTCCAAAGATCCTTAATAAAAGCACGTCGGCTTGGTTCTAATATCAATTTCTGGATGTTTTGTTCTACAATTAAATAGTGCAGACGGTTGAATAAGTTAGTGTTAATAAAAAAGCATTTGCAAAATTATATTGGTCAAGATCGACGCTCTTCCAATTAAGTTCATTTTTGAGCATGTACAAATAAAATGCTTACTTGAACAATAATCAATCTAGTTTTTGAAATTAGTGTTTACAACCAGTCAACCGATTTATTAAATCCGATTTACTTACTGTGTTTTCAAACTCAGAAAAGGTAATATTACTGTTAGTGCTAAAAACAGTGCAGTTTATGATTATTCTATGAATAAATTATCAACAATTCTTTACTTTGGTATCAAAATCGTCTTCCTTTAAAAGGTATACACAATCTCCGAATCAAACATTCAAAAACCTACCAACCATGAGGTGAAAATAGCGACCATTAGAACAAAACAACAATTACACATAGAAGAAAACAAATAATAATGTTTAAAAAATATTGGAAAATTAACAACATAATGCGTTTGCGACCAGCATGGATCCAGACCAGCCTGCGCAGTCTGCGCAGTCTGATCAGGATACATGCTGTTCGCTATCAGTTTCTCTACTTGTTATAGGGTTTGTTAGCGAACAGCATGGATCCTGATCAGACTGCGCGGATGCGCAGACTGGTCTGGATCCATGCTGGTCGCAAACGCACTATGTTCGTTTTGTCGTGACGTGACTTATAAAATTATAAAATAAAGTTACCAGTGATGTGTTCGATACTTCCGGCACATTTCCCGTCAAAATCGTCGGGTAAATATTCCTCGGGCAATAACGACATATCGATTGTCTTGTACACTGAAACCATACTGTGTCCATGCATAAATACCTACAAGTATACAAGGCAGTGAATAGTTACTTTCTTATATTTATTTTCATCGAGTGGAATGAAAATAAATATTTCAGGAGTGAATGTAATGGTTTCCTGACATGTATTTGTGTTTTTAATGTAACTGTTTACCGACGCAGACATGTTATGTTTAATCAATTAAGTGATAACTGACTGTTCTTTATTTTATTTTTTTTTTTTACTTTTTTTTTTTTTAGTATACAATGTTTCCATTTACAGACACATTCATGTATTCATGTATTTATGTAACTGTTTACTGACACATGTATGTTATGCCTATTTATATAATTAAACGTTTACCGACGCATACGTGATTATTTTTTTTTTGGTTACAATGTAACGATTTACAAACGCATTCATGTGTTTGTGTATTTAATAAAACTGTTTACTGACGCCTACATTGATACAGCATATGTTTTTTGTTGTGTTGTTTATTTAATATAACCAGATGGTAATGGTGATTACATCATAGGAATGATTTTTGAATATTTTTATTTATTTATTTATCTATTTGTCTTTTTAAACATCATTCACATCATTTTTCACTATCCTTAATTAATACAGCTCAATTATGAAAAAAATTCAGGGCATAAAGAACCCACTAAGTACGGAAAGAATACTTTAGATACATCTTTCATTGTAAGTAATAGAACACCATTTGCGGCATCTTGTCTATCAATCGCATCGTCTCGGCTCTTCCCGTCAAACTTCGGATAATAGCCGAGATGTTCCGATTGCTTTCTCATCGGGTTATTTCAATCTCTGAAATTGTTTCCGAGTTGTAACCAAATATAAAAATCTGTAATGCTGATGATAATTATGTGCTTCTGAAATTTTAATATGAGCCGCGTCATGACAAAACCAACATAGTGCGTTTGCAACCAGCATGGATCCAGACCAGCCTGCGCATCCGCGCAATCTGATCAGGATCCATGTTGTCCGCTATCAGTTTCTCTACTTTTAATAGGGTTGTTAAGCGAACAGCATGAATCCTGATCAGACTGCGCGGATGCGCAGGTTGGTCTTGGTCCATGCTGGTCGCAAACGCACTATGTTGGTTTTGTCATGACGCGGGTCATATTTATTTTACTATAAAATAATTACAACACCATCAACTTACCCGTATCCTCATTTTTTCGGGGAGTGCAGGTCTCAATATATGTAACAACACATTAAATATCGGACCTGTGTTATAATGATGAAATTGTTTGATTGACACGGGCAAGGCTTTCTGAAAACAAAACAAAAAAGTTGAAAAGTTAATCCGCATTTATGTGGGGAAGAATGCATGTTATTTTTGCTTTTGGTGTTATGTAATGAGGTATCAGTCTGAGCAAAGAACATAATTCACTTAAAAAGAATTAGGCAAACAAATGAAAAACTATCAACTAAAATAAAAAAATAAAAAATAATAGAATCAATGCATATACACGCACATAGTAAGACACAAATGCAAACTGAAGAAAAAACTCTTACTGAAACTAGAAATCCTAAAAACTGTACTCAAAGAACGCGCTGACAATCCATATGTATACATTATTTTGAATAATAATATTATTTACAGATCTGCGTGAAGCCTTTAAATTTGTCGTCAACTATAGACATAAAAGAAAATCTCAATGTATCCTGAATGTAAGTTAATTTAATTTAAAATGGATTTAAGTTAAAATGCTGAATTTCAGTTAAATGCTGGATTTAAGTTAAAATGCTGAAAATATAGAGGATATTAAATTTTGTTTCTTTAATTTGCATGTTAGATTGAAATATATTTCACTGAGTGGACACCAGAAGCAATATTTTCACGAATGGCTTAGCCACGAGTGAAAATAGAATAGCTGGTGTTCACGAATGAAATATATTTCAATCCTATATGTGAAACAAATAATTTTTTTTTATTTCGTGCTTTTTAAGTGATTTTAAGTATTTTTACTGATTTTGCCGCGTCATTACATCTGACGTCACATAATCAAGTTTTAAAAAATAAAGTTCTCTTTATTTTCTATAAAAAAAAATTGTTACATGTTTAACATGATGTATGATAACATCGACTTCCTTTTCCTAAAGAAGCAAAATTTACGTATAACGGCATTTATTTCTGCCTGTTACCACATTAAGTTATGATTTTCTTTTCATCCACATTCAGATATAGTCCGGCTACAGTGAACATTATATCTTATAAATTTCACTAGTGGTTTTTCAGAATATAATCACCTGATATATTACAGTAAAACACTGGAAAGCATGAAATATTTCTGTTAAATGGACTTGTAACACTTCAGACTTTGGATTGTTTGTAGTCGGTGTTTTTTGTAGAGTATGTGGCTACACCAAGTTATAAATGAGCCGCGTCACGACACAACCAGCATAATGTGTTTGCGACCAGCATGGATCCAGACCTGATCACGATCCATGCTGTTCACTATCAGTTTCTCTACTTAATATAGAGTTTGTAAGCGAACAGCATGGGTCCTGATCAGACTGCGCGGATGCGCAGGCTGGTCCGGATCCATGCGGGTCGCAAACCCATTATGTTGGTTTTGTCGTGACGCGGCTCAAATTCAGTTTGCATGATGTCTGTCTGTATTGTATCCGTTTAATATGCTAAAAGGCCTTTGTCAATGTGAATTTTTATGTAAAATGATATTTGAAAGGCAAATTTTAGTCAGCTGTTTATATGGTCACAAAAAAGAGAGAAATGATTTTCTATTGTAACTGAAGGTAGCACACCTTGTAAGTTTCGAATTAAGACTTTAATTTTCTTCAAAATCTTTATTTTAGGCAGATTTTCTAAATTGCACTTTTAAGTCATGTAGAGGTACTTATATTTGACTGAATATACCAGTATGGAGTTTGCGTTCTAACCTGGAAATGCTGCGATCTTTTACGCATATTTTCCGATCCGCCAAACGTGATATGTTTCATAGTGACGGATCCATAGTCCATTAGAAAATTCACACCATGTGCTTGAAATTGTTCATCACAAAACACTAATGAATGACAAATAGCTAGAATTGACCTCTGAAAGTCCGCATATTCGTAAGACTCCCCTGTAGGATCAAAATGATCTGAAAACAATAAAAAAAACAATAAAAGAGTTTATATAAAGTACACTGCACTTTACAAACGTACTTAAAGAGTGCAAATGCCTGTCTCCAGACACACTTATTGAGAACTTAGAAGAAGTTCATCATATTGATAATTAACAGTTTCTGTTCTTGTTGACATTTTAATATGAATGATGGATGAGACACGATCAAAACAGCTGATTCCGAACGTTAGATGGGTAAATTCAGGTTCTAAAAAATATGTTGGCTGATTTGGAACACTTTTGTAGCGACAGCACGACAAAGCGCCAAACGTTATTGCACTATCGTATTGCCGTCCTGTCGCTAACGATGCACACCAAACGGCGCGTTGTCGCGATGTTTTTTTGTCGCTAGTTAAACCCAGAAAGGGTAAAATTGTGTTTTGGGAAGTGGAAACCTTTTGGATCTGCAACACACAAAAAAAAAAAATTTTTATAAAAGCGGGCCTTAACTCGGCCATTCATAAACCGGGGGGAAAAACCCGTCAATATCCAAGGCTTGAGTTTTCAGATCAATTGTAAAGGTTTCATTAAAATTTTTATTAGGGGTATAAAGGGGAATTTAGTCCGGAACAAAAAAAAAAAAATTTTTTTTAAAGGGGCCATTAATCAAAAAAAATTTTCTTAAAACCAAGAAAATTTTCTAAATTGGCACAATATGATTAATATTTGATCATTCCGTAAAGTTTGGAAGGGAAATTGCACCCCCTATTTAAAAAGGGAACCGTAAGCTTTTTGGGGTTTCTGCAAAAAAAAAAAGAAATTTTATCCAAACCATAATTGGCCAAAAACTTAAGAAAAACCCTGAAAGCGCAAGGACTTGAGTAAGATCAATCTAAAGGTTTATTAAATTGCATTTAGTGGTAAAGAGAGTATCCGACAACTTTTAAATTAAAAAATTATTAAAAACCATTCTTTTTTGGACAAAAATTTTAAAACCGGGAAAAAACACAATTCCAATTAGATTGGTATGTTCATTTTTTAAATGTTTGGTAAAATTGGGAACAATTTTGAGGGAGAAACGGCAAAGTTTTGTAGGGACCGCCGGCAACGGACAACAACCGCGCGGACAGACAACGAGGGAAGAAGGCCCCCCTTATATTGGGAACTTTATCCGTAAAGGCCGGGAAAAAAATATTTTTGAAGAGTTTTTAAACAGGGGCGTTCACGTTGGGGGCAGGATTTGACCCCAAGCGTCTCTGGGATTTTTTCCAAAAGAAATAATCTTTTTCATTTGTAAATCCTTAAAACTTTGGTTTTCAACGTCAAATCTAAGCTTGTTTTTATATTAAATTACACCATACTTTGATAACGCTTGATCACACTTAGAAGACGCTTATTCTCGATAAATTTAAAAGTACATCATAACTGTCAAGGATATACACACATGTACCTGTATTGTGATAATTTTACGATGCAAAAAAATCATTGCGGTTTAATAGGTGGAAATAAACGCCTGTGCCAGGGTTTAATAACCGCAGCTGTGCGATTAATTTTTCATTTTTTTTTTCAAACATTAAGTCAACGAAGCACTGAGTTAAGCAATTTACAATGAATATATTCAGTACTTCATATTTATACACATTCAGGATTAAAATTGTTGTCATTGCATGTTGTTGTTGTTTTTGTTTTTTTTGTTTTTGTTGTTGTTTTTTTACATGATGATTACAACGAGACATTATCAGTCGTCCGCATGTTTAACCGGAAGTTATGTACACGTTACATCAACAAATCTTGAAAATTAATGTTGTTTGTTTGTATCGGTTAATTTTGTAAAAAAAATATCTTAATAAAAACGCAGAATTAAAAAGCATCAATGCGAGAATGATAACACCACAGAAATACACCATGATACACAGAAATTAAAACCCCCATTATTTTAACAAAAAATCGTAGAATATTAAGTCCTTATACGATATACCGTCATATGATTACATAATATGATCTGATCTGCATTATATGATAACAATATACACATTTATAGCACATACAGACAATTTAACAAAGTCTGTTAAAATAATATTAGATTAAAACAAATGTTGTTCATTAAGTATATAAAGATAAACATACATAAAAAGAATAAAATACAACCTCACAAATTTTTGTTGCAAGTTCTTGTTTAAGACTGGCCAGAAATATTGAAAAACAGGGTCACACAAAATACAAAAATTGGAAAGAACTATAGCAATCAATAAATAAAAATAAGGAAGACCAAATAGTGGGAAAAGAAATACGTTTATTATTTTAGCAAAAAGCTTGTTTACTTAAAGCAAAATGAAAAGAAAATAAATTAAAAATAAAGCACACACCACCAACACCCGCGCGCGCATCACCAGGCTGTTTCCCTTCAATGCTGGTCCAAACCATTAATGTTCTTTTTAAAATTTTTTATTTTAAACAAACAAATCAAAAATATTTCAATTCATGTTTCTTTTTGGTTTGTTTGTTTGTTTTATTGGGTTTTACGTCACACCGACACAAGTGGAGGAAGACCTTAGGTGCCCTTCCTTGCATTATTTCAGGCATAAATGGGCACATGAGTATAACCACCGACGTTCCGTTAGCTAGCTGGAAAGCTTCCTCACATGAAAAAATCCAAAATCCCTGTCGGGATTCGAACCCACGTCGATGAGGGGCAAGTGGTTGAAATCAATGACATTAACCACTCGTCCACAGACAACCCTAACAACTCGGCCACGAACTCCCCAAATGAAAGAGTAAACAATTATGTTTTCAGGAAAAATCTACAAAATAATTTGAATAGACAATAATTCCACTTGGAAAAGCTTAGAATTATGGGTACCTTCCGCCATTTTTAAAGAACAGCTTTCGGCAAATATCAGAATATCTTGCTTCAAGTAACTGCGATCCATAAATGTCACGAGGGTTCATGTCAATTACTAGACAGATGTGTATTTTTGTTTGACTATTTAACGTTGAAATATTTATACATTTTAACATCAAGGACAACTAATCACGAACTACCTATAGTATTACAAAAATAATATACAATTTTGCTACGCATGCGCAGTAAAGTCGTATGACTGCTATAGTGCAAAAAAGTCGTATAAAGTAACCTATATTTTGAAAATTACATATCTGTTCTACTTTCTCACCCCATGAAGATGACTCTTTAAATGTTCATAAAAACTGTTATAAAAATTCACTAGCAAAACTTGACACATTAATGAATAGTTGTGATAAAAAGATTCTACTAAAATCATCTTTATTTTGTAAAAACACTATGTTAAAATTTAGATAATTAATACTTCTCATTCTCCGTTCATGTAAAATACATATGTTGTATTGAATTCATTACTTGAAATGAACAATATGATCTCCTTTTTTGTTTATTTAGCTAGTCATAATTGTATTCTTATATTGTGATTTTTGACTGTTATTTTTCTGTTTGTTTGTTGTTATAACCAGTTGCATATTATATGCCTTGGTTTAATAAAAACTGAAACTGATTTTTTTACATAATAATGCACTAGCTTAATTAGTTAATTTTTACCTCGACTATTCGTAAAAAGGGAGACCTATTGTACTCCTTTAACAAAATTATGCATGCAAGTTGGTATCTCCAGGGCCCATAATTCGTACATATACTTTGACCGAATTATTACCCTTTTCGGACTAAGAAAATTCTACATTATTCAGGCTTTCCTTTAAACCCCTTTCTCATATTCAGGCCTAAAAAATTTAAAAACCCTTTTTCACCCCCCCTTTTATTTGTTGTCTAAATGTGGAAAAAATCTAAATTTTATTTAGGCCTTTAACACTTTGTTTTTGTGTTTTAAAAATGTAAGTAAAAAAGTGGGGAACTTTTTTCGGCGGCCCCCCACCAAAAGTACAATCATTTCAGAAGTATTTGCCCCCTTTTTTTGGGGGGTTTGAAGGGGCAAGATTTAAAAAATTTTGACTTTGGAGGTATTTAAATGACCCCAGGATTGATTCAAAAAGGTTAAAGGTGTTAACCCAAAGTTAAAGCTTTCCCCCTACCAATTCATTTAGAAGTTGCAGAAAATTTGAAATAATTATAATTGGAAAAAATCCCGGCATATAATGAAAAATTTGTTTCAATTCTTTAGAGAGGTCCCTCGTTCATGGTAAAGAAAAAATAACCTGAACATGTTGTTGCAAGGGCAATGTCCAGTCAACATTTGTGCCAAGTTTGATTAGTGTTGAAGCAGTTTTTATAGTATTATAGCAATTTGAACTTGTAACGGGAGACTTTTCAATGAAAACAGCCATTTTTCACAAAATGCTTATGAAGTAATGGGTTAAGGTACAATACTCAGTATTCAGGACTGAAAATAATGAAACTTACAAATTCTTAAAACGTGAAATACTTTGCCTTTGAGAATGTATGAAATATGTTGAGAAAAGTACAAATCTAATTGTTCCATTTTATGAACTGTTTTATCAAAACTTCATCTCTGCAACGTTATGTGTTCAAGCATGGTATCGCTTTACATATAATGCGGATAACTGTCAATATTAAGCATGGAGAGGGCGTGGGATAGGTGGGGGCTCATACATGAATAAAGTATGCCCCACCCACAAATCAATGTTTTTTTCCATATAATTGTCATGCTATAATATGTACATTTGAAACAAAGCACCAATGTTGAAGAAAATGCTCCGGTTAAAAATAAAAAAAAAAGAAGAAAAATAGCATAAAAAGTAAAATTTAAATAATTGCATCCTTATGCTCACCTATCTCGGAGTATTTTCAAGAATTTTGGATCCCCAGGATCGTGCCCATTCAGGTAGCTTACTGAGTCGTTGAACGAAGCCAGGAAGTTTACAAGTCTGTCCCTGGCTACCAATTGGCTGTATTTACTGATACGTAGAAATGCCAGTAAAAATTTCGTGCCTGAAAATAAAATAATAAACAATATAGGATAAAACTATATATGCATATACATGTATATACATGCATATACAAAATATCTTTAGAGAGCGTTCATGATTCGTTATTATAAATGATGAAAAAAGATGAACAAC